TCACACTTCGACAAATTATGTACCTTACAAGACGTAACTGACATGCCATTATCATAAATTGAAAGTCAAGTAAGTACTATGGATTATGTTGCACTTCGAGAAATATTGTAATCATTAAAAAAAAAAAAAATTAACAAATTGAGGGAATCACACAACGAGGTTCGGATTGTGAAAATAATATGAAAGTATCATATGAACTTTATTTAAAATTCGAAAATTGTATGTACACATGCGAGGAATTCTAAACGCAAAGATCGAACTACGTCTAATTTAAATGCGACGAGCCAACTCAAAATTGAACTACATTTAAATTAAATGTTGTGAGCCGCCACAATATAAACTTTCAAAAACGCTATCATTTACAAAAGCATCTACAAGCGTCCCCGTGTCCCATGAGAACCAAACCCGTATCAGGCATTCATTGACGATCCGAAAGCAAGCGTTTGTGGTTGTCCCTTCGTAGCTACGTTCAAGAACACCGAAATGTATTTAATCCTTACAAACCTACCAACACCTCCCAAGGACTTACCGATGGCGTCATGCACGCAACATGCCACTTGCTCTACCTCATGCCACTTGTCAACCAAATGAATTTGACCGACAATCTTCAAATCAGACCGTCCGTTCTCGTAGAAAAAGCGCAGATTGCTCATATTGCGACCATTGATTCTAAGCTCGTTGCAAGAAACAAGCACTACAGCGTCTACCAAAGTTTGCTTTCGGTTCGAACATGCCACACACAACACTCTGCAGAGGTCAGAACCGGCCAAAGACAACAGTACGCAACAGTATGACACATCTTGTGACCGTGTTCCGGCAACACGCAACAGATATACTTCCAAAAACGGATTGTAGGATGCACAGTCCAACAACTCTTGTTTCAAGTCTGCAGGCCATATGCGAGGTGACCTCGTGACGTTCTCTAGGCGAAGGTAAAACCATTTATTCTCTTGTTGTCTGAGTGAGGCGTGCAGGGACGGAAGTTGCCTGACGCTGATGGCATAATGGGATACTTTGATTAGACTCCTGAGCCGCTTCTCCAATCCATCGCGAAACCAAACTTGTACTCCTTATGCCATGGATATTTCCTTTCCAGAATTGCTTTATCCCATTCTGCCTCGGACCAAGTATCGAGAGCTTTGTCCAAGAAGGGGACGACACTCATCCATGGGTCGTTTTCGAACTTTGTTGTCATTGGCCCGATAGTTTCAGTATTGTCGTCCGCACCATGCAATCCGCAGGCGCAAGGGCGAATGGGATACGGATAATCATGCCAATCGGTCATTACTCTTGTCGCACTCCCTACATAAGACGTGACATGCAAACACAAACGAAAATTAATTGTTGAAAAAGTAGAAAAATTGCCTCCACGATTAACTTCCAAAATTGTTTCACCAACCATATTACAAAAATCAACCCTAGACTGTGAATAAAATCTGTCACCTTGTCGTACCACAGGATCGTCGCAATTCACTAAGTTCAAAAGAATACGCTCCCTTCCAAATTCCCGTCCGAGCAGTCATTTTTAAATATCCTACTCGCTCACCTATTGGGCGGATTGACAAGACCTATGACGTGCACTCGTCGCATTTGTCCCCTGCATTGACACTCCCTTCAGCAGATGGACTCAGATCTCGAAGTGCAACTTTAGCATTAAGTCGAACATTGGAAGGAATCACAAGTTTAGTCGTGAACGGCTTTGTATCTTTAGTCGATCTCTCCCAACCAAAAGCGATCGAGTCGGAATGCTGCCATTGTGTCTGGTCAATTATTTTTCGTTTTTCTTACCATGCGTTATCGTACAGTTCTTGGAGCGACTTTGCTCTCTCAATCAGCACCCTGTATTCCACTAGCATTATAGTTCTGCGAATATTTTTCACCAACCACCTGAGAAAGAGCTTTGCCCACCCAGATAGGCACACCGCTGGACAGATCGTCGTCGGAGGGGTGAAGGATAAGAAAAGTACCTATGTCAATATACACGAGGGGGTCGAAACAGATCTTCGGGCGATCTTTTCTTCGTCCAACAAACAGGGGTTCCCTGTCGTTGCTCAACTTTGTCCTCCTTCACGCTCTCAAATAAAACAATTCATGGAATCCGACCTATTTTTGTAAAATATTTCTATTGTTTGGTACTGCAAGCACCATTTTGATGTGTTTCGATTATTTCAAACAAGAACAACCGTAGTCCTGACCAAAAACTTTCCAGAGGTTGTGAGGACAACCCGTTGGTGATGATGTCGTCGCCATGTTTGATAACCTCCTCCTAGTAATACAAAACTCTTTCTCTCCTACTCACCTCATGGTCGTTGTAAGTGCACCACGTTGACCGTCTGCTCTCCGGCAACTTGCAAAATCGAATAACACAATTTTTGTCATTATAATAGTCATTTCGAGGAAGGGGTTGCATAGGAGGCGGGTCAAATGACCACGAAGGACATGCGTAGCTTTCATCGGGGTTTTGATTGAACGAATAACTCAGACCTTCCTCAGACAACCTGTTATCATCATCTAAAAACTCCTTGTACAACATGCCTGGATTATCTCTAACCATGAAAAATTTATGCAAGTGCGGTTTCAAAATATCAGTAATGTTCGACACAATGCATAAGTCTACTATACTTATCCAATCTGCCAGTGTATCGAGAAAACTACATTTGAGAGGTTTTTTGTGGGATTGCTCTATTAGCTCGCAGAACTCGTCCATAGTATAAGCGTCTATGTCTTTCAATTTTTTCGAGAAGACGCTGAAAGTAACATCAACGTCTGTATGGGTATGTCCCACCAGCATGAAACCTATTTCTACCTCTTGGAAACTCTGAACTTAACCAAGAATGCAACTAGCGCACCTATGTACTTGTTCTTGTTTTCCCGCCAACAATTATCTGCTTGAATGTGCAAAAACGATGGCAGTGGCGTCCCGCTCGCTTGAATTTCGACGAGGGTTCTCATAAGATAAGTAGTGATTGTGTTCGAATCGTGTTGAAATACGAAAATCTCGTGTAGACATAAATACAAGGGTCTCTACCGTGTGCAATGACACATGTCAGATTCGTGTTCATCATCATCTCGTGCCTAAGTGCTTTCGAGCTATGAGAGAAGGTTAACAACAGTCGTATTTTTCATCATCACTTCAAGACCATGAAAACCACCCTTCACCACTTCAAGATACAGCCTGCCTAAACAGGTGGTTTTCGGGGTCTTCGGAGCTTTCACCACTTCAGGACCATTCAGATCTGAAAATCCTGAATGGTCCTGAAGTGGTGAAAGCTCTGAAGACCCTGAAAACAACCTGTTTAAGCAGGTTGCATCCTCAAGTGGTGAAGGGTGGTTTTCATGGTCTTCGGACCTTTCACCACTTCAGGACCATTCAGGATTTTCAGGCTGCCCAAAACTCTTTCTTGACTACTTCAGGACACCCTTCACCACTTCAGGATGCAGGCTGCCTAAACAGGTGGTTTTCAGGGTCTTTGGACCGTTCACCACTTCAGGACCATTCAGGATTTTCATACTGCCCAAAACTCTCACTTCAGAATTTTCGTTCCTGAATTTTCAGCTACCCAATAACCGCTTGTGCGAGCTATGTATCCCCCGCGACCTCGGTCGCTACGGGCATGCTCGCGGCCCACAGCCGGGCCCGCGGTCAGGACCGTGGCGACCCCGATCGGGGAAGGGCCGCCACGGGCGAGGGAGAGGGGGTACGAAAGGTCGGGGTTGGGATTCCTAGGGCGGGACCGAGGCCCGACACCCCCCAAAAGAAAAAAATGAAAAAAAATTAAAAACGGGGGGGGGTCCAAATTGGGGTATATTTAGGGGGGGTTAAAAAATAAGGTACCCCCCTTTTTCATTTTCGACGGCGCAGGCTTGGCTTTTGGGGGAAATTGGGGGGTCCACTACAACGACACAAAGAATTTTTTTTTTTTTTTTTAACTGGGTTTGTTTAAGGGTTGGAGAGGGTGGGGGAGTCATTCGTTGGGAAGGTGTTGGTGGGGGTCATTCATTGGGAGGGGATTGGGGGGGAGGGGGGTTGGGGGGGCAGAGAGAGAGGGCTCATTCAACTCATTGGTTGGAAGGGGGTTGGCGGGGTCATTCATTGGGAGAGGATTGGGGTTTAAAGACACAAGGACAATAAAACAGTTAAGGAGGCTTGCCTTTTGGGGGTTCCACTAAAACAATAGACAATTAAATTTTTTGTTTTTTTAATGCGTTGGTTTGGGGGTTTGAGAGGGTGGGGGAGTCATTCATTGGCAGGGTGTTGGTGGGGGTCATTCATTGGGAGGTGATTGAGGGTGGGGGGGGGGAGCGGTGTTGGGGGGTAGAGAGAGAAGGCTCATTGATTGAAAGGCGGTTGGCGAGGGTCATTCATTGGGAGGGTATTGGGGTTCGATAGACACAAGGACAATACAACACACACAAAAACACCAACACATGATACAAAGAAAGCACTGTCAGTTGTGACGTGTGTATGACCTGGTGACAACACAGTCAATATGAAATCCTCCTACGCAATAAATCTCACCTCGCCAGACGCCCACAGTTTTCAAGAAAACCATAACTAATGACGTTGTTGAGAAAAAAAAAACTACAACCATCTACAACTGACAACGTAGGGCAAGTGTGAAACCAAATAACTAAGAACATGAAAGTAATGTACAAGTAAAATAAAGATAATATACAAAAACATGAAAGCAAAAAACTAATCTACCCTACTACACAAGTCCCTAGCTCCTGTTACCGCGCCCGGTATGAGTGTTGTGACGTGCTCCGCTCCCTCTCCCTGCCCCTGCTCCTCTCTGGCCACTCTGACCCCTACCCTGTGGTGCTCGCTCTCTCCCTATGGGTGCAAGGTGTGGGCCTGCTGTGGCTGCTGCTCTCCAATGTCTCTCTCTGAGCGCAACTGTCTTGATGGGCTCCGTCTCCATGTCTGCCTCCTCGGCTTGTGCCTCCGTCTCCGACCTCCTTTCACGCTCTCGAACGAGCTCCGCCAACCGCTGCTGCTCAGCTGCAACTTGCCGTCTCGCCCCCTGTGGCATATGCAAATCATCCTTGCCCGATATGTACTCTAGTCCCTGACGTCTATCCTAGATGGCTGATTGGGCCGGATATGCCTCCACCCTCTCGGTCCTCCTCATCCCAATTTTATCCAATCCGAGTATACGTCGTCTAGCCTCACTCGCACCCACTGCAGGCACTCCCTCCTCCGATGGTCCTCGTGCGAACAGCCCCTGTCCTCTGCTGTAGTCCCTCCTCGGACGGTTCGTCACTCGTCTGCAAGACGACCACCCCCCAAAACGGCCACCTCGATGACTTGAAGAAGATCCCCGCCCGGTGCCTCGACCACCAGTCGGTGGAAGACTTGTGGCCAGCGCCGGTCCCTGATACAATGCTGGAGATAAAGGGCGTTGCGGTGGCTGCATCTGGCTGCTGGCAACCCCACCTGAAAACACTGCTGCCTGACTGTCCAAGGACTCCCGCTCACAGATGTCGGAGTGCGATGATCCAGTCCACCTAGGGCTCACTGGTGCCCACGTGGGAGGCGAGGCCAGCCCACCGGTGCACGGGAAAGGGTCCTCCGTCCCCAACCTCTCCAGCTGCTCCGGATGTAAAGTGGTCGGTGTGCACTCCCCCGATTCCCCGCCATCCCACCGAGGCATCTCCCCGGAGTACCCACTAGGAAAGAAAGAGACCGGGCGGCCCGAGTCAGCATGCCATCTAGTCTCGCCATCTCGCACCAATGGGGGCCTGACAATCATCGCAAGGGACATGTCGACTCGTGCACCTCGTGGAGATGATCCTTGCCTGCTAGCGTCGCTCATGCCATTGTGCCCTGCGTGGATCCCTGCTCCCTCCTCAACCTGTGTTGCGTCATCCTCCAAAGGCACACTGCCATCGTCCACATCTCCTCCTCCCCTCCATGAATCCCACCATCTATATCAGTCGCACATAAGCCAACTACGACGTCGTGTAGGATATCCACAGCTCGTGAGTCTGCTCCGACTGTCTCAAGAGCCCCAACATCACCACCCTCGCATCGCACCTCTGCCTGCCCCCCGCCGCCAACCTCCACTCCGCATGTGTCAGCACCACCACCCTCAACATGGGAGGGGGGCTGCATGGTGTCTAAACTCGCTCTACCCTCAACATGGGAGGGGGGTTGCATCGTGTCTAAGCTCGCTCTACCCTCAACATGGGAGGGGGGCTCATCAATAGTCTGTGCACGCGCTCCAATCGTCTCCAACTCCCTCTGCCTCCGCTGCTCGGCCTCATACGCCTCTCTGCCCTCTCATCGAGGCATAGACTATAACAAAGCCTCCTCCTCGCGATCCAGGCGAGCGTCCCTCTCCTCAACTGTCTCCTCCCTCTCCCTGACATTCGTCCTGTACTCGGCTCTGTCACCCATTCTGCATCGTAAGATAGGTGAGCCTCCATATGAACCCGCGATATCGAAATCGCTGGTGCGCAGGTCCGATGTCGCGGCCTGAGCGGGGCAACCGTATGACGGAGTCCGCTCCACGAACGATCCTGAGGGTGCTGAGACGCCGAACCGCCACACTCTGCCAACCTCTTCGACCGCTAAAGCTGTTGTGACTGCTCCCTCGAGTGGTAGCTCGGATCGAACCGACGGTCCCGAAGGCGGTCATCGTCAACTGCCTCGTCCTCATGATTCGAGTCCACCCCTAAGACTTTCCTCGCGTGTGGGGGAACGTCTCGAGCATCGACTCCACGCCTTAGCCCGCTTGGGGTCGTCGAGTGGCGAGGTTTTTTAACCAATTGGAAGCACATTTTTCATGTAGAAGCGCATTTTCAACACTTTGAAAACTTATCACTCAAAGCTTTAGATACAGCACAACATATTCACAAGGTGCCGCGCGGTACTTAGGAGAGATATCCGATTGTGACTTGTTGTGCTTCGCACCTATTGATTAAGCTCCAGTTTCTACCCTGTGCCCCGCCTGCAACATCGTCCGTGATGATGGACGTCCGTGGTGCATGGCCGTCCGATCCGCCGCCGTTCGTGAAGTATACCTTGCTCCACCGTCTTGTCGGTGCCCCCGCAATGTCCTCTGGGTCCATCCAATCGTCCTCTCCATCCTGATCGACTACCAGAGAACCCTCTGCTGCTGCGTGGGATGGGGGAGGGGTCACATGGTCGAAAGGGGGCAGAGTGGCTGCCCTATCCCTAAATATGATTAACACCTCTCGTGGACGGCTTATGTCATCCTTACGAAAGTCCTCGATCTGCCTCCAAATCTCTCGATTGCCGACGGTACCAACAGGTCTCGCCCCCCACACCTCAGGCTCAGGATCACCGTCCTCCTCATCCTTGTCCGGTCGCCCTCGATCCCTGTCGAGGTTGACGCCATCCATGATCCACGGAAGCACATACCCGCCACCCTGCTGCCTACACGGAGCCAGTTTGAGATTTGTGGTAATCTCCAGCTAGCCAAGCCGGTTCCGCTTTGTCGTCTGAATGCGCTTGTGGGCCGCCCAATTCCTCTCCGCAGGAGAGGCTGACGTCCACACGTGCATCACACGGATAGCGATGACACGTAACTCTGGGTGGCCAGTCCAATGGGCGAACCACCATGCCACACAATGGTCCGTCTCCTGATCGCCGTCACAATCCTCCGCCTCCGCATCCGATACCAGCCGATCACCCCAATCTCCTCTGCGCGCATGAAATCGACACATTTGGTCACGGACAACGAGGTAATCCCCGCCTATTGGATCACCTCCAGTTTGGGCAAGGAGGAAACGATCACACTTTTGTACAACCTCCGCATCCTCCGGCGTGGTGTGGAGGGACTCGTAGTACCTCAAGGACCGTCGGCGGGGGTTGAGGAGATGGGCCACAACGTGCGAGGGCTCCAACATGTGCATGAGCTGCATCTCGACCTCCCGCACGCACGGGGTCAGTAGATCAGTCGGCACATCGTCCATCTTCTTCAAAAGCTGAATGAGATGCCGACTTCACTCGTAGACGATGGACATCATCATCCCTCCTTTGTCCATCCACCTCAGGAGCTGATGGATGGGCTCCATCACACGGATCGCGAACTCCACAAGACGCCAGAACTCACCACCGAGAATCTGGAGACGAACCAATCTCACTTGGGGCAACAGCCTCCGCTCCCACAGGATACTTGCTAGGTGTCGTCATGCAACGTCGCCTCAAGCAAGTTGCGTCCCCCAACCAGACAAGTCAGCATCATGAAAACTGATGTGAAAAGAGTCTCAACTGGCTGAACGAGCGAAACGCGTGGGCTTTTCCTCTTGTAAAGGGCGAGAGCTGCGCCGTACGATTTAATAAATCGCACCATCGCTCTTGCACGGATGATGGTGTCAGTGGCCCAACCCACTTGTGTCCCAATGTCAACATCAAGTTGCAGGCATGGGTCGAGCAGGGGAGCCAAGTGATGCGCAACACAACTAGATCAGGGTCTGTGGCGAGCAAATGAACAGCCACTGTGTAATTACTGGTGGATTCTGTGCAGAAGGCTATGACGTCCTTGGCAAGGAAGGACTCGATGATGGCCCTCCACCTGTGGAACACAATGGCGCCCGTCTCGGGTACGGAATCGTTGCAACATATGGTGGCATACAGCAGGGCGCCACTTGCGCCCGCGGCAAGGAAGTTCACGATGAGCCACGCATCACGGGACTTTCTACCATCCGACAAGATGGTGGCGTTGTTGTAAGTAAACGACTCTTGGACCTCCCGTAGCAAAGTCGGCACCTTAGCCCTCTGCGAAGGAACTCCATCTCCGCCGATTTGCTTCAAGGGAGAAAATTGCATTTACACTCCTTTAGGCAACTTTGACGCTGCCTTCCGGACGTCTCTCCACGACTTCCTCCTGAAGGTGTTGAAAGGAATACCCGAGTCGTAGATCCACTGCAAGAACTTGTCGATGAAGAATCGACTGCTTTTGGATGCATCATAGACCTCATCGATCTTGCTTTGACAGACCCTTTTCCTGGGTTGAGTCGCAGCCTGGTCAGCCTCTCCCATCGGCCTCTTCCCCTGTCGCCTCGCAGGGTCCGCCCCATGTGACGTCATCACGACCTCCCCTAGCAACTCCACCCCCTCGCGCTCCATCTCATCCAGCACGTCCTGCACTTCATCCCTGCCTGCAGCGGAAGGTGGCGCTCGCGATCGTGCACCTCCTGGAACTGTTCGTGAGTCTCTTATGTCGTGCTCCTCCATGTACGTACGAATGGAAGTATGATGTCGGTCATCAAATTTGTAGTCCGTTGTAGGGTCCTACCCTGTTAGACTTTCGAGCCTGAGTTGACCCGCTCCGGGTCCCAATTAGCTCTGCTCCGCTCGATCTCATGCTCAGCGCGCGGAGCGTTCGTCACAGGGGCACCCCCACCTAGTGTTTTGCGATCGATGGGGATGGGTCATTTTGTGAGAGAGCTTCGACATTGGCGATGTAGCTCCGCCCTCTCGCCCGATGGTAGACTCGCCAAAACATTCCGTCGACCGTGATTTTTCTTCGTGCTTTGAGGTGTTATCATGCAATTGCTTCTTCCAATGCTCATGCAGTCCAGGGGGTTTTATTGAAAGTCTTTCTTCTTTTATGCGCAAGCCAAGCGTCATCCTTGGGCCACGCATGCATTCACTAAGCCTGGAGTCCTCAAAACCTTGTTGAGCGCGCGGTCACCCTTCGGCTTGGGCCCGCGGACCATGTCTCACGGTCCCCCTACGCCTCCCTAGGGCTTTGCCTGCCCCCCTCTTTTGCCGTCCTACCTGCAACTTTCGTTGTCGCGTACGTCAAGTATGTCTCTCTTTGTCAAACTCTTGCATTTTCCTATACAACCCTTAGTCTTTTCGGGGCCCCATCCCGCATAGATGCCCGAATTTTTCGTTTTAGTCTAGACGACCTTCTAGGTCGCCTTATATCTTTGTCATTTGCTATAGCCGACTTCGCTTTACACAAACATGCTCAAGCAATTATTCAAGGGCAAGGGTTAAGTCCACAACCCATTTGTCCTTATTCCCACTTTCTCTGTGCCGCCCGGCATTCCTGGGACCCACTCCCGCTCGATGTCTCTTTAAGCTACTTACCTGCACATTCACCACAAATTATGCAAGGCATCCCCCATATGGGGTCAACACATAATCCCTCCCACAAGCCGAAGTTCATTTTCCTTAGCCCTTTGTGCTTTCCTTTTCCTCTTCTCAATCCAGGTCAATCTCTTCCCTAAGTCATGCGGTCAGGGTGATGGTTGAGTCAATCTGACCTTGACAAAAGTATCAACTCTTTCTAGTCCCTCTTTCGGACTTGCCTCCTTTCAATTACTCAAGCGTCTTCTCCCTTTCCTTCCCTTGCCCACTTTCTCCATTAAGTGAGGGCAGATTCCTTTCACTGTTCGTTTCTTGGCAATGTAACAGGTGAGTGGGGGAAGGCTAGTTATATGCCAAGAGGGGCGAGGGGGATGGGGTAAAGTCAAGGCATTTAGAGTATGAGAGAGAGATGATGAAGGGGGCAGGGAAGCGGTGGAAGGAGAAGAAAGGTGTGAAAGAGGAGAGAGAGAGAGAGAGAGAGAGAGAGAGAGAGAGAGAGAGAGAGAGAGAGAGAGAGAGAGAGAGAGAGAGAGAGAGCTCCTACTCTTAGTCAATTTGCCACCTACTTGTCCTACCGCCCTACCCAAGATCCTCTTTCTACACCTTGCCTCTTTGTGCCCCGTAGGTCATGGCCTTTGGTTGGTGGACGAGGTGATGGGGGAAGGGGGAGTGCAGCGGTCGGATATGGAGGATGGTTGAGGAAGATGGAGCAGGGAGATGGTGCGAGGTGGTTGGCTACGGTGGATGGGTGAAGAAGATGGAGGAGGAAGATGGTGTGAGGTGATTGGCTATGGTGGATGGGTAAAGGAGATGGAGGAGGGAGCTGGAGTGAGGTGGTTGGCTATGCTGGATGGGCGAAGAAGATGGAGGAGGAAGATGGTGCGAGGTGGTTGGCTATGGTGGATGGGTGAAGGAGATGGAGGAGGGAGATGGTGTGAGGTGGATGGCTATGGTGGATGGGTGAAGAAGATGGAGGAGGGAGATGGTGTGAGGTGGATGGCCATGATGGATGGAGGGAGATGGTGTGAGGTGGATGATTGTGGCGGATGGGTGAAGAAGATGGAGGAGGGAGATGGTGTGAGGTGGATGGCTATGGTGGATGGGTGAAGGAGATGGAGAAGGGAAAGGGTGTGATGGCTATGGTGGATGGGTGAAGAAGATGGAGGAGGGAGATGGTGTGAGGTGGATGGTTATGGTAGATGGATGAAGGAGATGGAGGAGAAAGACAGTGTGAGGTGGTTGGTTATGGTGGATGGGTGAAAAAGATGGTGTGAGGTGGCCGATACTTCGTCCTACTTCACGCGTCCGGCTTCGTCTCCCAGGTCTTCCCTTGCCCTGAACTTCAAAAACTTCGGACTTGCAGTACTAGCCCTACAGCAGATATGCAGAAAGCACATACTTTGCAAAAAAACACTGATTTTAGAGAACGCAGTCCTTGCAGATCTGCAGATCTGCAAATTTTGTAGATTTTGTTGTTTTTGCTATTTTTGCCTAAGGAGGAGAACCGAAAAACACAAGCTTGCATTTCCCAACCTAAACGAGGTCAGAATCAGTCCTATTTTGGTGGGCTCTCTGTCTGTGCCCTATGGAAGGACCTTACCAAAATTGGTCGGATTCCTTCATCGGATGCCCATACTTGTCGTTTTCGGGTGTTGTCCGGGCCTCAAGGTGAACAGTTCGGTGAAGTCCATTTCCTGTTTTTGCAGTGAAATAGACTCAGATGACCTGCAGGTTCTGCATGTCATCTGTTTATGTCTAGGATATGAGGTATGAGAAGTCCCAGTTCTCCTATCCTTGGTTTGACAGATCTTGGCCAAAGTGCCCCCTGGTCGCATTGGCCTTTTAGTCCCATTTTTTGGGCCGGTGTCGGGACCTGTGGATCCCGAATAACGTCCTGGCACTTGAGAGCCGATATAGAGCTAGGTTGTGCACAACAAAGAAATCTGGAGTAAGGAGACAAGAGAGAGAGAAAATACAAAGGACTAGGACGGAACCGCCGAGAGGAGTGATGCCCTGGGCTGAGTACCGTAGGGAGAAAGAACAGGCAACAGCAAGCAAGTAAGGGACGGGACACAGGCACATAGGGGCATAGTATGGGGCCAAGAGGGCCATCTGAACTCGGCATGACAAGGATCCGAGGGGCCATTAAATTAGCTAGCGCTGCACGGCGGATGACAAGAGAATAGGGAAGCCGAGAGGTGGACAGCCCTGGTGGCCGCGGGACGCTAGAAAATAAAGGCCCAACATGGGGGCCGCCTATGACAATTAACGGAAACTATGGATTAGAGGTTCGAGACCGGAGAAACCGGCGCGCGCGAGGCCTGAGAAGAGACAAGGGAAAAGGGGTCACCATAGGGATGTAGACACCAAAAGAACATGAGACACCTTGAGAAAAGGCACAAGGGGTCACGTGAGAATAAGTAAAAATAATGGTAGAGGGGGGAACTTCAGCCCGTCACACTCACATTTACATGAGGTGTGCTCATGCTGCCCAAGTGAGCTCATAAGAGCACTTCTCTCACTTGGAGAGAGGAGAGGGGAACCCCTGCCAGTTTGGGAGCTTAGAGGAGACTGTGGACTAGTGTGGAGAACTCTAGAGGGTAGTGGTAGTGAGGCTGGCCTAAGGAGGTGATCTGCCATAGCCCCAGTTTGTGAGGAAGGAGGAGAGGGTAGAGGGGGCCTCATTAGCCCTCCTAGAGGGGAGGACTCTATAACCATAGTGGAAGGAGCTTGCAATAGCTTGGGAGAGGTACAAAGAGGAAGGAGAAAAGGGACTTGAGGAAGGAGAAAGCCATAGCTAAGGTGACACTTGTACAAGGAAGGACGAGGTTTCATCAAGATTGGTGCTCCAACTCCAAGATACTAAGGAGTTGAGTGGAAAGAAGGAAATTATTTTTCTTTTTCTTCTTCTTTTTCTTTTTCTTCTTCTTCTCCTTCCTCTTCTTCTTCTTCTTCTTTCTTCTTCTCCTTTTTCTTCTTCTTCCGCTTCCTCTACTTCTTCTTTTTCTTCTTCCTCTTTTTCTTCCTTCATCTTGCCCCCCTTCTCTTCCTTCCTCTACTCCTCCAATGATCTTTCATCGACATTCTCTTTGTCTTCTTCTTCATCATTTCTCTCTCCATAGGAACTTTCCAAAGCTTAGAGTAGATGGTAGGAGGTTTTCTCACTAGTAATGGTCTCCCCATAGACTCATCCTACATTCTCGTGTGAATCTCCACTTCC